TCGGTCAAGATTGCTGGAAGTTAGCCAGGCAGCAGCAAGTTCAGCAGGAGGAGGATTTTGTCTATCTTGTCAGCATTTTAGTGTATTCTGTTTTCGCGGGCCTTCACGGTATAAAGCATATAGGCATGATTATTTTCATCTTAGAGACACATTTTAGATCGTCTTCAAAAACAAACACAGTCGCCCTGGATTTCGAGCCCCGAGCGGTCTACGATTATTTCAAACGGAAAGTAAAAATTTTTGAGTGGACAATCTGAATCATAAATAAGCAAAAACAACTAAATAATCCAGCGAAATAGGATTACCTTATTCTGAAATAACTACGAACAAAGCCTGTACAGTTTAGCGGAGAGGAACAGCTGTATTCTGACGTTTTGACGTTGCTTCTTTCCTTGCCGGCTATATCCCACAAAGTTACGGATCCGAACCGATAGGAACACACACACGGCAAGTTGGGTAAATAATTTTTGAATGGTATACATATAACAGAACAGATACGGTGTTTATTTATTAGACTACAGCGAAAAGAAATGTTTACCTCGACCTTAATTAAGAATCTAACGAGCATTTAAACGGCTAACGGACGAACGACCTCTCACGACGAGAGAATATCGCATTTTAGACCGACATCAGTCTTTCCTCATCAGTTGGTGTCCGCATCCGGTAAGCAGTCTTGATCACAAAATGATTAACAAAAATATAACCTACTACGACTTTACAACTACCACAGTCCTTGGTATATGATATCACTGCAACGCTGGTCATAAAATGAATGCTTTGGAGCACCCATGCTTTCTAGTAATCAAATTTTTTTTTCACTCTTTGACATTTGCAAAATATATTATTTGAATAAGCATTTGATCTCCTTGGAAAATAATTTACGAAAATAAATTTAAGGTACGTTGTTGGTTTGTATACTGAAAAATTTATTTTGTGATCAAAGAATCTTCGAGGAATTGTTCCTTTAGCGAGATCGCCTTTTTATTTTCTCTTGACGGCAGCGGCTCATAACACCTGCCCGCGTGTACGATTACGAGGATCGAAACATTTTCAGTGGCGCGGAAGACAACTTCTTCCGAAATTTATTCTAAAGCCATCAGGATAAGTTAGCAAAGAATTTCGCAGTACTTGAAACAAAATCAAAGAATTTAACTTGCAAAAATAAATAGGATCTATCATACTTTGTTTCTTCCGTCCTGAAGAAAAACTCGACGGTGACTCACTGTGTGTTTATAAAGAATTGTCAACATAAGCAAAAAGTGCTTTGCGTTCAGATATATTTTTAAACCGTGATGCAATTTAGAATTGGAAACCGAAAGTACCCAGAACGTATATCCCCCTTATGTATAATTATTTTGTCCAATCACAACTCTTGATGTCATGAGTTGCGGTTCTTCGTTCCGAAAAAAATAACACAGATAATTTATAATTTTCGTACAACAGTGGAAGACCAGTAGTCCTAAATATCACTACATGTAAACTGAAATATCAAGGATTTGAATCTTGTTGAATGAAAGGCGCTCAAAGTATTACACCATCTTTGCGAATCGCACATTTAATTTGTAAGAAGCGAGTTTCAAACGCTGATGAAACTCGTTGAGGATTTACAGCATATTATATAGCAAGATCGAAGGTCAGTTCTTCGGGAAAACACACAGCACTAGACAATTGGTAGGTAATTTTATTTAATACGAGCTTTTAAAAATTATCTCTCTCTCAAGCGTTCGTTTAAAAGTCTTTCAGTCGACTTTGTCCTGTTGTTTGAGGGAACTGTTTTAAGCAAACGAAGCGAAACACGTCCTGCTTGATTTCACCCAGACAGAACGCCGGTTAAACACCTCCGTTACGAAATAATTCAAAGGTTTCAATTTCCTTCCCGATTAGTAAAAATCTACAGTTCTTCTAAAAACCAATTCGAATGAACCCGACACAGTTCATTCAAATTCAGTCTGTTTAATTCCACTTGCAGCATTTTATTTATTCGACCATAAATTAGATAGAAATCGAGCAGGAATTTTAACTCGTTAGCGATTTCACTGCCGCAGTAATTTTTAATTTTGTAACAACGGACTCGAGAGTTTCTTCAGTCTAATATTAAAGGAGATTAAAATAAAGGATGAAAATAAGGGAGTTGAAGGTTCTCTTTTACACGGCCGGCGGCCCACAACTATTGATAAAACATCATAACAAATAAAAAGTATAATCAGTTATCATGTTAAGATTGTTCGAAACAAATGCAAACTTCCGGTTTTTACTGACTCGATGTTGATCGAAATAAGGAAAACTAGCTATTATGTGAATAATAAATTATGATGTTTTTGACTAATTCGGGCATATGATATCCTGTTAAGAAAAGTTTGTTTACGTAGCAGTTACAGGCAGTGGCATGCAAATTCCTTGGTTGTAAGCTTCTGAGACGGCCGGGTCAAGGGTCGAAATTGCAATTTTATCAGTTATCGCACGAATTTAGTTATATTTATTGTTGGATGACCGTCGATCGTGTTTAAAGTTTATTTTGTTCTAGGAGGACAACATCTGGCATTTTTATGGAAAACTCATTTTCTTCTCTAAGTTGAGTTCAACCCATCCATCCATCCATTCGTGATTCAACCACGCGCGGTTTCAATTAATCAATTAATTAACCAATCAATCCATCAAATAACCAGCCAGTTTATCAGTTAGCTTAATCAGGAATATACTTAGCAGTTAATTGACTAATTAATCCTTCAATCAATCAAAAAATTGTGCAATCCATCCGGTTGTCATTGAATAAGTAAATTAAAAATCAAATTAAAACAAATGATATAATTTGTTTGAATTGACGGACAATGATTTTTTTAAACCGTGGCAAAAAGGCTCTTCGACTCAGTTTCCAACAATATTTTTGTCGCTTGCGATGTGAACCTGGAGAGAAGCCGTTTCCACGATAAAAAGATAAAAAAAGATAAATTTTTCTTTATTTTACGACATAGGTATTGAAACATGAACGAGAGTAGTGCACCCACCGTCTCCGCTAAATCTTCCATCTGGCTATGGCTGTTCCGCCCATTTTCCATCATAATCACCTGTGCGGGCCTGGTGATGTTTGTTGCGGGAATCACCTCATTTTCAATTCATGGAGATGCCAGTGGACACCGGATCCTTCTGACTCCCGTTGGAGGCTTCTTGTTAAGTTTTGGCGTGTTGCTGGCTATCGGAATACAATGTCGGGTTCGATTGAGGGAAAGAGAACGGCAAGAGGAATTGTGTCCTAACAGCGATATAGTAGATCTGACATCGGAGTTTGCCTCCGCTAACATTTCCACGGAAGCAACTTCACCGGGTATGTGGCGTCACTCACCGGTAATGCTCCCAACATGCCCTGGTCCTCTCCGAAACGAAGACATTCCCAGCGCAAGGTCCATTTCCCCATTAGTGATTGATATGACTTGTTTGGTAAATATCGATGAAGTTTTGTTATCATTGGAGAATCCAGAGGCATTTGAGGTCCCCCCGTCTTACGAGGAAGCGATGTCTTTGGCTTGACATCGTTGCCACCCTGACTTAGTCTCCACTTGCAGGGGATGGGTGTGTTAGCCTGTTGTAAATTAAGGGGGAAGGGGAAGTCCAGAGGTGCCGGTTTACCCCTCCCTCGTTGGTGAGATGACTTTGTTTGACGTCAACAACATTCTTACTTTGTTGGCGAGAACACTCGAATCCAAAGACGCATAAGTTAGAGCAGCGGTACGTAGCCACTTCACGTGAGAGGCGCCAAAATTCGTAACTTTGACTCCTTCCTTTCAAAGCCTCTAGCTACGCCCCTGTAAGTTCCACTAATTTCCTAATTAAATTTTATCTTCGCTTCACGTACGTAGTTCTTGGCGAGTAATCGCATGTTTGCATGATATAAGGGGTTGGTTCACCTTGCATCTAACTTCCCTTTGTTTTTGTTTTAATGTAAAAAGTATTATTCCAAATATATATCATTGTTCCTTACAAACAACAACGAAAAGGATAAAGCTGTACGAATATACCAGGATGTTATCATATTTCTTAAGCGATTGAAATCTTAGTACAATGTGAACAGCCAAGGAGAGAGAATGAGCTGCTGGGATAAATTGTAATAGTTTATGGAATGATCATGAAATTATTTTGATATCCTAATAACAGCTGCACTTAAGAGGAAGAAAAACAAAAAATTACTTTGCACCAGAAAGGTGCATTGCCGTCTGTGAATCCTGTACATAACGTACTCGATGCCTTTAGCAGAAAATTTCATTAGTAAAGAAATTTAAAATTTTCATGCGGATGTTAGATTTAGGAATAGGCCATTTACGAATTCTAAAAACCTTTACTTTCGAAACGAGGCCAAGAGTTAAACATATATTGCGAAAATAAGCGATATTTGCAAGAGCATGAAACTCTTTCTGGTATCGAAGCTTTTGTTTCTTCCCCCGTTTTGAAACAGAGATTTCAGGCACTTCGGAAATTGCTTCTTTTACAGGTATGGGCTATTTCAGAATCTCGTTTACATTCAGTCGCCGGGAATTCAAAGATAGCATGATATTAAACCAGTTAAAAATTTCAATGATTTTCTTACAAAGATATTTGAAAATAAGTAGTTTGGAAATTGATGAAGGAAATTGAGGTACAATCACAAGCCTGAACACTTGGCTTCGATGTCTTCCAGTTTTGCCCCGAAATAATGGCTTTCAATTCTTCGTAGCTGAAAGAGAATACTGTCAAACTTGACATCGACCATTTAGCTCCACGAGGATGAAAGTGTAGCTTCTCTACGCAATTTCAAAACATTATTCATTCAACAAGGGATAAGGATTGATAAGCATATCAATCAATTGGAAGGTGTTATCCTGTTCCAACACTAAGTTCTCTCGAATGCTACTTTAGGAGGAATGAATGTGAAACACTTAGAAGAGAGAATTGTAAATTAAAAAGGATAGGAGTTCTAGTCTTAAATTATTGTCTCTGCTTCTTCTTTGGCACCAGTAAATCCTTCGTGGTCCATAACAACAGTTGTTATTTCACTTGTTGAAATATCTGCTTGCGCCCGGTCATAAACAGATTCTTCTTCTGGCAAACAAGATCGATATGCCAAATTGACGACTATAAAGTAGAAAAACCCAACCATATACACAGCCATTCCGATTAAAACAAGAATATTCTTTGCGGTGGCTCGAGTTGACCACAGCCCCATGCCGCTACCAACAAGAGTTGCTCCTGCAGCGACAACAACCATCGGTAGAACACAAAGGCAGGCCAATTTGTGGCGGTATAATTGTCTATTTTGCTGCGGGTGTGTGGGTGGAGAGATCAATTCGGACATTTCAAAACGATATTGCGTAAGTGGAACCATTTCGTATCTGCGACCTTTTCGCAGACAGTGATTGAGCAATTGGAGGGATTTTGTTGCTCATCATGATCTTGGCTGGCTTTATCTATTTGGGTTAGATCTTACTTTCACAGCTGTAGAAGGCAGCTCCACTGATGGTGCCAACGAAAAAAACAACGTAATCCAGCGGAAATATCTAGGCCGTGTTCTTTGGAGCAAAAACACCTTAAAATAATTTTGTTTTATCAATAGAGTTCATAAAATCGACACTCATCATCATGCAGTATCAACGGACGCTTTCAATTAAACTTATCTATTCTGTTGTTTTAATTGTTACCATGTTCTCACCTATTAAGTAACAGCATCTTTCTGCATATAAACTACACATAGCCAAAAATTCTTCTTTTCCCTCTGACGAAGAGCTAACTCTTTAAGGTGTAGAGAAAGGTTTGTTACATGATTTGGTTATATTTAAAGTTGAAATAGGAGACCCTTTCTGATTGAACAATACAAACTGATTACAGACGAGGAGTAATTTCAGCTAGGATTAGATCAACACTAGAGAATCTTATTGTATCTTACGGAGAACAATAAAAATCGAGAAGTTTGCAAAAAACGGCTTCACTTGGCATTCGCAACAACGGCGCCCAACTCACGAACATTAGCAACTCAGCTGATAAAACAGAATTATCTTGAAATATCCCTCTTTGGAAATGTAACAACGGCACCATCACAATTTCCTTAGAAACTTACGTAACCCTTTACGTAACCCGTTAGATTTTGTGGGTCAGCTCTTTCAACCGGCAACATGCCAAATAAAAACGATTGAAAAAGCGTAGATTGCTGCTGTTGTTGTTTTCGCGGGCTCTCTCAAAGGTCGGTCAAGGGATCCAGCTGATGGTTGTGCCCTGCTGTAAACAAGACCCAAATGAAAAACAAAACAGGAAAAAAGAGCAGCTGCGTGTGCTCGCATGAAGCATTGGCTATGGTTGATGTACCAGCGACAATCCTGCGTTCATTATGGTAGGAAAGTGTATCTTTTCAAGTTGTTTTCGAAAGCTCAGTTTCATTCTTCGTACAACCCTGGCACAGCTTCTTTCGAATATCCTCAATTTCTAACGGCACACTACAACACTAAAGCAGCTATTTTATTTATCAATTTTATTTATTAGCTTTGCCAGCAATACATACAATGTGGAACATGGGTAAATTCCATAACAATAAGGGCAGGCAACCATAACAGGAGTATTAAAAGACTAAAACGATTGCATCAATAATTAATAATTAAGAACAACATGGAGTTGATATTGTTTCCAGGCTGCGACATGAATTACATTTTGTGCAGATAGTTTTATAAGTCCTGGGATTGTCAATGTCTTAGATCACTTGGATGAATAATAACACATCAAACCGCGATTGAAGTCATTTACATTGTTCATACTTAGGTTAAGCTCGTCTCACGGTGTGTTCCAGATTTTTTTGCTCGTACAATAAATGACCGTTGAAAGGTTGAAGTCTTGCATTTAGGTACAGATTATTTGTTAACAGCTGTATTGGTAGACGATCGTATGTGTCTCGTAGAGCGAGCAATAGGAACAATTGTAGGATCTATATCCACCAGACATGGGTAATGGATAGTAAGTCTTATTATAGCCATTTCGAGGTGTTACCATGGTTACCACGTTTTAACCAAATGCGATTAAAGAACTGTCTATTGGGAGGCCTTCATCCTCACGTGATAGTGCGACTTGCATCTTATGAAATTTAAAAAAGTTATCTCACCAACGAGGAGGGTTTTATACCCACAGGTTACAGGCTCCCGAAGTTCCCCTCTTAGTCGGTGAGTTGACATTTTATCACGCAAGATCGCAGTAGTTTGGTATGAAGAGCTGACAAATCGTGCGACGTCAGGAGCCCATTACTCGGAGCCTCCATACCAATTTTACCCTTGAGTCAACCCTGTCCCGTATCTTTTTATTTTTAGAATTGAGATATGTGAGGGGTTCTTTAATTTCCCGCGAAAACACGCTGACCTTCCGTGCTTTTCGCAATTATTGAAATACTTTCGTGCGACATGCATGTGACGTAAACAATAGATGACCAGAGCTCTCGTATGATTGGCTACTATGTAAACACTCGCGAAAAATCCCGTGGGAGGTGCTTCTGAAAATTAAAAGACACTGGACAGGGTTGACTTAGAGGGTAAGTATGGAAGATGAAAGCTCCGGGTAATGGGCTCCTGGCGGCGTCAATAAGTTCTGCTCGGAAAAATAAACAACAAAAAAGGAAAAACAACAAACTATGGCAGCTTGCGAAGAACATTTCTGAAAGTCCAAAGATGCTGAACCATCAACTGAGAAGAATTTCCTTCGGAACAAGGTATAAATGGGAGGGTCAGTCTCTAGGCTTTAAGTCTTTAAGTAGTAGCTTAATCTCGTAACCAGATTTTACCGTGTAATTGTAACTGAAACGTAACAACGGCTTAGCCGTGAAAGGTCTGAGTACGAGACTAATAGTAGCTAGCCTGTTCAAGGCGTTCAGTTGGAAATACAAAGCACGACAGCAAACGGCGCGATAGAAGCAGAGGAGTGAAAAAACGAGGGAGGTCTGGGTCGGGTCGTGTAATACACTCAACGCGACCGGACCCAATCCTCCTTCCCTAGCTTTAGCTCTTCTGCTACTATCGCGCCGTTTCCTATTTCGCTCTGAACGCCTGGAACAGGCTCAGTTGAAGCACGTTGACGCACTGAGCTTGTGTACCCTGTGCTAGCACTACATGTCTTTCACAAGTAGAATGCAGATTTTGCGAATTAATGACGACACGATCTTGTGGTCGCATAGTGTGAAGATAATTGGGAAATGTTTAGACTGACATTTAGGATTGTTAACTAGGAGACGAAAATTCCTTTCCTACGTATAAACAGCTCTTTATAGGAAGATAAATTTGAACATTATAGACTAGCACTCTGAACTTCTCTCTAGAAGATGATAACTCTTTTCCTTAATGTCCTTTCGGTCTTTGTTGAGGAAGTCACCTGACATGTTTACCACTGGTCATCAACTTTAGACATTCCAAGACGTATTTCTTATCTAGAGGGTTTCATATCTTACTAACTCTGCGTAAAATACTATACCTGTTGATTGATCCATTCATCCATGGACTGCCTGAGGGCATCTCTTTGAATAAGTGTTTACAACTTTGGCAGTTATACAATTAAAAATTAATCATGTACGCAAAATTCTTAACATTTCACGTAT